GTATCAATATCAAGTCTATGAAAAATTAGTAGCAGATTCAGTACTGATTAGGGCTATTACTTTGAACCGGGTATTCGAGCACCCATGAGATAGTAAATGAAAATAACCCGACCGACCCGGGTGTCTCACGAGTACTCGAATATGTACATAAGACAGTCGAAATCTCGGTGGCCACTACCGCTGGTGGTTCCCCGAACAAACAAGGTAGCGATGCAACGATGACGACGTGTCAAAGTGCACCTGTACCCTGCACAATATTGTTTTGAAACCTCTGCCGAAACAGTCGAGGAATAACAGATATCTACTCTCAGCTGTCTTATCTCATGAGATACCCGGATAATTTCTATTTACCCGGGTACTTTCTGATTACCCGAGTATCTCACGAGTAACCCGGGTATCTCTTAAGTAACAGCTCCAGTACTGATGAAAATTGGGAGGTGATTCGAAACTTGCGGCCGGTAGTGTAGTTGTTTTTCAAGTTCAGATTTCTATAGGTCGGCGGACGTGTTAAAGAACAGAGACCCTTTTCACGGCGGAGCACAATGGAACATCGGACGTGAAAGAAGGCTCGAAGCACGTAAACAATTACTACAAGTTGTTTCGCGAAGCCTGGCTACCACAGGAAGCCCACTGGCAATGTAAATACCTATAGTATATTACGGTTTGCGAGTGTGACACAGCAGCATTGTTCTACGGAGACGTGACTTCCTCGTATTTTTCAATTACTCCGCAGCGACCACGTGCTGCACCGCACGTTTAGTATTTTTCCAGGCCTTCGCTATAAATTTCCGGTCGGAAGGGCGCCGTTGAAGGAAAAAAGATGCGCATTCGTCTCCACGAACGATTACCGCGTTATAAATGAATATACTTTAAACTTTGATACCCGTCGCTTTTGCCAAAATTTAGACTTCATTTAAATAACATATTCCTCGATATTGGATTTTTCACCATTCGTAAATTGATCGATTATTGGAGCGTTGAGACGTTCTGAGATTTTTCGCGTTAACTTGAAGTTGATGAGCATTTCATGTAACACGAATTAATATTTTCCCTTGCACTCGGAATATTCAGATTTTTATCTGCATTGCGTAATGCAACGCGTACCTGCATTTACGCGCACGTAATTTGTGTTAAATACGTAAATTGCGCACTTTGTACGATGTAGTACATGCAGGTAGCAGCGACGTATCGTGAGAATTGGCACGTCAAACACACGTGACGTTAGTAGGGAATGTGCTAATTTTTGTCATACTTAAAGAACATCCCAGTGAATTTCTTATTTTACACCCCGATTTTCTATTCCTTCTCGTACCATCCTCTGTACCTTATTACAATTACACTTAGTCGATTCCACCAGCAAGATAACAGAAAACAGAGGAACAGAAGAAGAACAACGCCTACGGGCATAAAGATCGCAATTTTAAATCCCAGCACCTAAATCATCTTCTTCTCTAGACCTTACAAAAATTCCCTCTGCCTTGCGATGAAAGTATTCGTGAAAAACGAGGTATCCCGATAAACCTACTTGCTCCGAAAGAAAGAAAAAAAAAAAAGAAAGAACAATTCAACGTTCCTCTCTAGAGCGCTTTATCTCGTGGCGAGCAAGAGGATTCGCGCGTACAGCACGGAACAGCTATTCGCGTATTTAATAAAACCGATACGCCGAAGCGAAGGTTCGCGTATGTCCGGCGCTTCGATAAGTCCGCCAATATATTTCACCCGGTCCCCAAAAATGCGCGCGGCCGCTTCACAGTCGATACTATTCCGCCCTCGTTCCCTTGCGGTTCGCATACTTCGCCCATGGGTGTGTACTATCGGAATGTGTTGAAACATTGCGGCCATGAGGCGGTCGGATTAAATCTTGATACATTGCCGCTATCCACGCGTAAAATTCGCGTTCGCGCCAACATACACCAACAGACCCACACGTACACAGTGGAACGAACATCACAGCATGTACACACATAGACGACGGAGTACGTATACACCGTTACAACAGTTTCGTTCGACGAAAACGTAAAAATCGTTGATTTATCGACGCGGCGGCCGATTGCCGATAGTGTACGTTCTATCGTAGCGAATTACTAAGTGGCCACTTGTCCGCCACGGTTCCTTGTACATGAATTATTCTATTCCGTGACCGGTCGTCGCGCGTCCGCGCCGGCTAATTGTTGCTTTCCCCGTCGACGAGTAAAGTCGCTCGTTAGTGGTTACATCCACGTCCCTCTACGCTCTCGTGCAGCAACCCTTCCGCCAATCTGTTTCTTCGCTGATTCGTTGCTCTCGTATGTCCCACGCGAATTTCGCGAGGCTCGAGCACGTTTCACCGATGTTATCTAACCAGAACGTCGCTTGGACCACGTTAACTTTCGTTTATGTAAGCGGCCGGTTCCGTGATGTCACTGGTGCGCCTTATATTCCTCTGTCCTCTTGTTCTGCGTCTGCCTGAACGAACCCACGCTACCTGGACTAAGAAGAAAACGCTGTTCGATTGCGTCACATCTACAGCGAAGTAAGTAAACGTAGGTGTGTGTATGTACCTCTTGTTCGTCCAGGGTGTGTTCCATAGGCACACGAACCTTGTCTCTTTTTTTTTTTTCATTTTTGTCTTCTTCGAGACGTTACGCTCTCACGTTTTCGCTCGTGGTAGAGAAGGACGGTTGCGCGACCATGTCGACGTCCACGTCCATTAGCGTCTAGCACGCGACCACGATTTTAATTCGCGTGAGGAAGGAAATAGAGAGGGAGTGTAACAGATTTCGTGCGGTATCGAATGTTGCGTGCCAATACGGCCCAGCCCAGACGATCGGGTGAATCATAGTAATTACATACTTGCCGTGACTCCGCGTCGTGGTCGCGGAAATTAGAGAGGACCGTTGTTGCGTTCCTCGTCGTTTAGCGATTCGCTCACGGGACTTCTTCTTCTTCTTTTTCTTGGACGACGACGAAGGAGAAGCCTCGAGGATCTGTTGCGCCTCGATTCTCTGTGTTAGGTTTCTCATTGAAGTATTCGTTAATTGGAGCTACCGTATCGATTACGTAAAGCCTTAGGTCTCGAGAGTATGCCCGCTACCAGGCTATAATTAGTACATTCCTTTTGGAGTTAGTCACGAGTCGCGAAGAAGTAAATCGCGGTTAGCTCGCGTCGCGGTTAAAAGTACCGAGCTAAGTGGATAAGTAGGCTGAACGCGTAGCGAAGTGTAACGAAATCCGTGTTAAAAACTGTCGTCGTAACGTCTGACAAAATACACCGTTCGCGTATCTAACCATTTGCAGTACGTTACGAAAATGCTTAACGATCGTGAGCATCGACCTCTTGACCAACGACCTAGATAAAAGGATCGAAAGAAGTAACCGCCGTGACATTCGTCATTGTCGGAAATGAAGAGACAGAGGGCAGTACGGTGTCCTTAAAGGATAATAGAATAGACGGCAAATGGGGATATACAGAGGAGGACGAGGCACGTAGAAACGCGAGGAGAGACCGAAAAAGGAGCAACTAGG